TATGCAGTTGCAAAAAATGTAATTTCCAATGTACTGTAAATCTTGACATTTTGAAATAAAACATTTTCTCAAATAATCCAATAGAATCTAACTGCCACAATAATACTTACCATTATCAATTTTTAAAATACAGTCTGCCAAAAATGTATGCACACTCCAGGGAAAAAAAACTAGTATGATTTTTTTCAATAGATGATGTTAACCTGTTATGGCTTGTGTCTAGATACCCCTCCAAAGCCTCATGCAGTTACAGGTGGGGCTTTTTCAGAGGTGGCTAAATCTAGAGTGTGTAATTGATTCATGGTGCAATGCTAGGATTAAAGGTGGGTGATTACTAAATCAGCCCCCTGATTGGTTTGGTAACCACTCTAATCCCAGCAGACTGGATACAATATAAGGGACAGAAAAAGGCTTGTCTAGTCCCTTGCTTGATTTGCGACCTTCTGCCTACCATGAACTCTTTCTCCTCTGCAATGCTCCTCTGCCATGCCACCTTGCCTTGGAGCCACCCAACTATGGACTGAAATCTCTACAAACTGTGAGCTAAATAAACCTTTTCTCCTTTAACTTTGGGTGTCAGGTATTTTGTCTCAGCAATGAGAGAAAAGAAATTAAGACACTCTCACATGGGGGAACCCTAGAGGATGTCGTATATTGCAGAAAACCCACGACGCTGCTGACCCTTAGAGAAGAAATTGAAAATGTATGTGCAGCAATCAATCTCAATGACCAAGGTTGCCCAAGCAGCAGCAGTTCACTGTACTGATATCTGGGAAGCTAATGGCCACCGCTTTGAGCACCTCTTATAATTGTTGCAACCAAAGGTAACGTATTAATATCATAATGTCTCAATAAATTTAGTATTAAAACATACAAGTTTTTCTTTTCCTTAAGTGTGTATACATTTTTTTGATGGACTCTGTATATTAACAAGCTCTTAAGAGTCAGAAACTTTTTTTCTTTTTCTAAACTTATTTTCAACCTATTTCTTCCAAGTTGTTTGGACTATGATACACTTTATGCCAGAAAATCTATTGTTGGTCATCATCTTCTCATACTTTTTGACTACCTAAGTATAAATTTATCTATTAAATATAAATCAATTACATACTTTAAATGAATTGTCTGGCATGTGAATTTTAGCTCAAAAAATTTATTTTTTAAAACAGGATCTCACTATGTAGTTCAGGCTGGCCTTGAACTCACTGAGTAGCCCAGACTGGCCTTGAACTTGCAGTGATTCTCCTGCCTTGCCCTCATAAGTGCTGGGATTATAGGCCTGCACTATCATGCTTGGCTCTGAAAAATTTTTTAAATATTCCAAACATATTTCTAATTTTTAAATTCCATATTTTTAAAATTTGTACTAGCTCATATTAGAGGATAGTTTTGCATATTCATACCTGCATATAACATACTTTGCTTATTCCCCCTCCATAACCAACTTCCTCTTCCCTAATAGCCTCCCTTCTACCTTCCTGTCATCACTTTTTAAAATTAACATATCTTTTAGATTCTACATATGAAAGAAAATAGGATATTTGACTGAGTCTGGCTTATTTCGTTTAACATGATGATCTCCAGTTACATCCATTTTGCTGCAAATTTTGATCTTTATGGCTAAATACTCCACTGGGTATATATATCACATTTTCTTTATCCACTCATCTGTTTACAGGCACCTAGGCTGTTTCTGTATCTTGCCTATTGTGGATTGTACTGCAAGAAATATGGGTATGCTGGTATCTCTATAGTAGTGGTGGCATATGTGCTGCAACACATTTATTATCATTAAAAATTCTAAAAGATTTAAAGGTTCCAAAAGGTTCACAACCTATCACTGCTGTATAGTATGCCAACTATAATTTGGGGGGGGGGATATATCAAGAAGTAGTATAGCTGGATAATATGGTAGCTCTATTTTTAGTTTTTTGAGGAATCTCCACACTGATTTCCAGAGTGGCCATACTAATTTATACTTCCACCATTAGTGTAAAATGGTTCCTTTTCCCCTGCATCCTTGCCAGCATTTGTTTTCTGTATTCTTAATGACAGCCATTTTGACTGGGGTGAGATGGAATCTCAATGTAGTTTTTTTTTTTGGTACCGGGGATTGAACTTGGGTCCTTGTGCCTGTGGAACAGGCAGTGGAACCACTGAGCTAAATCCCCAGCCCTCAATGTAGTTTTGATTTGCATTTCTCTAATGACTAAACATGTTGAATATTTTCCCACATATTTATTGGCCGTTTGTACTTCTTATAAGAACTGTCTGTTCAACTCATTTGCCCATTTATTGATTGGGCTCATTGATTTAGATTTTTTGTATTCTTCATGATAGCCATTCTTACTGGGATGAGATAGATTCTCAATGTAGTTTGATTTGAAAACATTCTTATCACTATTTTCAAGTATATTTTTTTACTATCTCTCTGAGATTGTAGTTACCTGTAAATTATATTTCATAATGGTATCTCACAGGTTACTGATGCTTTCCAGTCTTTTCTCTCTCTTCCATTTGCAGTTTCTTTTGTTTTATGTTCACTGATCTTTTAATATGTAATCTTCCAAGCCCCAGTGAATTATTCATATAAAATATAGTATTTTTCTTGGCTAGAATTTTTTAAATCTTTCTCTCATCATTGCCTTCATGGTTTTAATATTTGAGGATTTGTATAAAATTATTTAAAAATCTTTGATAATACTATCATCTGTCTTTTCTGTGTTGGTTTCTATGTTCACATTCTGTTTTTTTTTTCCTACATCTAGTATATTTGTACAGGATTGACATTGCATATTCTATGTTGAAGAGTAATAAATTTGTTGTGTTCTTCAAAGTGTATAACACTTCCTTACTATTAATTTTGAGTCATTTTCACCCTTTCAAACTGGAAAAAAATCCCCTGAGAAATGAAAAAAAGAAAACTGTTTCTCTACTCACCTAACACTTCTGACATAAAATGTGATCTTTTTTTCCCCACACTAACCAATTCTTTGATACAAGTTGAGTATCCTACTATTAATTTCTGAAATAGTCTACCTGGAGTTAGAATCAGATCCCACAGGTTAAGGGTTCAGTGCCACAAGATCGCCCCCTATTTTGGGCAACTAATTGCAAATCTTGGATCAGCTGTGCTTCTGACCAATTGGATACATAAATTAGAGGTTTCCATAACCCCCTCAAAATCAACTATTTGTTAGAATGGCTCATAGAACACAGGAAGATATTTTACATAAGCTTATTGGTTTATTCTAATGGATAAAATTCAGGAAGAACTTGATGAGAGGCACAAAGCAAGGTATCTGTGTGTGTGTATGTGTGTGTGTGTGTGTGTGTGTGTGCGTACATGCTCTCTCCAGGTGTACCACCTTCCTAGGAACTCACCAACTTGTTAGAATGGCTCATAGAACACAGGAAGATATTTTACATAAGCTTATTGGTTTATTCTAATGGATAAAATTCAGGAAGAACTTGATGAGGCACAAAGCAAGGTATCTGTGTTTGTGTGTGTGTGTGTGTGTGTGTGTGTGTGTGTGTGTACATGCTCTCTCCAGGTGTACCACCTTCCTAGGAACTCACCAACCCAGTTCATCAGTTTGTTCTGCTTTTAAAAGAGCTTAATTTCCAGGGTTGCTCTCCCCTTTTAGAGGTTGGCTAGTGTGGCTGAAAGTTCCAATTCTCTAATCGTGTGGGCTTTCTAGTTATCAGCTTCCTGCTGTTATCTGGGGACCCTAACCTAAATCATTCACTAACATAAACTTAGGTGTATAGGTATAAGGGACTCCTCACTAACAGCAAAAGACATCACTCAGTAAATTTCTAAGGGTTTATAAGCCTAGAATTTGGGGGGGGGGGTTGTTTGTTTTTTGAGACAAGGTCTTGCTATGCAGTTCAGGCTGGCCTTGAATTATGTAGCTCAGGCTGGTCCCCAAACTCATAGCGACCCTCCTACCTGAGTCTCCAGTGCTGGGATTACAGGCCTGTGCCACCACGCCCAGCACAAAAGCCTAGAAATTGGGACAAGGACCAATATATTTCTATTATGCTGCGCTTATTTTTAAGCTTGTTGGTGAGAGGGAATGCTTATGCAGATTTGGGGGGGGTTTCTTTCTTGTAAAACTCCCTCCTTGATCATTGTTTGCCATGCAAATTGTCTCAACTTGATCAGGTAATTGTACTCTGCTTGACATCCTCCTCTCCCTATCTTAGAATGTAAGTGTCTGATATGAAATGGTCTGTTACCCAAAGATTTCTATGTTGAACCCCTAAAATTTCATCACTGCATTTGGAAACATGGCCTTTAGGGAGGTGATTAAGGTTAGATGAAGTCATGAGACAGAGGCTCCAATCCCACAGGACTGCTGTCCTTATAGAGTCCAGGATACTCCTGTCCTCCCTCACCATGTATACACAAAGGAAAGAAAAGTTGTTGTCAACAAGCCAGAGGCCTCACCCGTAACCAACCCTGACAACGCTGACATTTTGATCTTCGATTTCTGGCTTCCAGAACTGAGATGAATTTCTGTTGTTGAAACCATCTGATAGCATTTCGTAACAGCTGCTTTAACAGACTAATACAGCTCCCAAAGAGAAAACTTGGATCATTTGATCCATACTTGGTTCATGTATGTAGTTTCTCTTGGTTATATAGGTCCTGTACTGTTGTTTATATCACGATGATGAATTATATCCCAGAAACCTAAGTCTTTTCAGCATCCTTTTGTATCTTTTAACTAAATGAATTTCAAAAATTTCTGAGGATTGGGAATTGAAACTCCACTGTGAGGGACCCTTAAGAAATCTCCAGTCAAGTGCCCATTATTTCCCCAAACACAAGTGTGTCATGGCCTTTGGGTGGGAAATAAGGATACTACATACATGAGGCAGCCCAACATGTCTGCAGGTTTCAGGTTTCAGCAAAATAAGATTCATAGGTCTTATTCATATTTGTATTAAGTGAGAACATTGAAGTTTTCATTTGGTCTGAAGAAAGTAGCCAGTTTAATTTCTATCACACAATTTTATTTGGAATAAGCAAAATTATTCCCCAAAGTGGATATCTAAGATCAATGTCCTTGAAATACTCATAGGACAGACAATGTATTGTTCCTAGGGAAGAAAGACAGGATTGACTGGGCCACAAAGAGCAAGGATGGCTTCTTAGAAAATCAAGAAAAAATAATCATACTAAACCACTAGGTATTTTAATTGCAGTGAATTTCATGTTCTCAGGTCAAAACCAAAGGCTCCATATCCAATGGGCAGCAAATAGATGCCAAAAGGAATTTAAATTACATCCAAAGGTTACCATCTAAATGGTAAACATGGGCCAGGAATTTAGCTCAGTGGTTTCGCCACCTGCTCCGCAAGCACAAGGACCCGAGTTCGATCCCCGGTACCAAAAAAATAAAATAAAATAAAAAAATAAATGGTAAACACAAGACTGGATTTGAGAACAATTCTGAGAGCACAACACTCAATCCTAGAGTAAAAGAAAATTTACAGAGAATACAAAGGGAATATGAGTGACCACAAAAGCTAACATTAATCATTTTTTGAAGGAAAAAAAATCCTACATTACTTGTAAGTTATATAACCAAGATCAAAGATGTCTGAAGAATGTGATGCTACAAGAATACCAGAATGCTTGTTAGAGCACAATTTTGTTACTTTAAAATTCATGAAAGTTTTGTTCTAAATTGTTCATTAGTTTTAACATAAAAATTTTGTTTTTAGTGTTAACTCCCTCAATCTTTTAAGCAAAATTGATATCCTAGGAAATGTTTCTCCTGAAGTTGCATGCAATCCCCACTCTGCTACATCCTGTTTCCCTTCAGTGTGTGTGTGAACCACCTTAAGAAATATGGCAATTTTTGTTTCAAAGGGATCAAACCATGTTGCTCAGGCTAGCTTGAACTTAAGATCTTCCTGACTCAGCCTCCTGAGTAGCTGAGATTATAGGTGGGCACTATAAATAAATTGCTAAAATAAAGCAATCTATATTATAGAGCCATTCCTTTAAACTGATATACTTTCTATGTAATCCACAGTGCTACACCATGCTTAAGAATTACTGCAATGATTGAAAAGGATATAAGAACTTTGTATTCAGAAGATTCATATGAGAACATGGAAAGGATATGAGATCCAAAATATTACATAAATGTACAGTACCAAAAAAAAAAAACATGTAAAGAAAAGTAATGACAACATGACGAAAACAGGCCTGAATGCTTAAGGAAGACTAAAATGGCTTTAGAATGAATGAATGCATGCATGCATGCATGCATAAACCAACTGGCTAAGGCAATTGTTCTCAGTTGAAGTTTTATTCTCCAGGAGACAGTTTTGATGGTCACTACTGGGAGAGGTGCATTGCTCCTGGCTTCTAGAAGGGAGAATAGAGGTGCTGCTGAACATCCTACAAAAGCTCAAGATAGCTTCACAGCACCAAGATAAAATTCAGCAGCATTCTCTAATACATTCTCTTAGCATTTAGGGGAAAACATAATCAACACAATTTTCCACAGACTTTATCTTAGCAACTCAAGAGAGATGAACAACGGAGCTGTAGTTGTTCTCATCCTCTAGTAAGGTTGCTAGTACATACAACACATAGGGATAGCCAGTGGCCTAAGGGAGTGTTGGTATCAACCTGCCTTCTGGTTCTAATACTTATCTTTCTTAGTCAAGCAATTAAATGCTGGCTTCAATTCTAAACAACTCTCAGTTGGGTTAAACAGGTATTTGATCTGAGCAGCTTCTAACCACAAAGCCATAGATTTGTCTTAATTATGATCCTGAAAAGGAATCAGGTAGGTGGACAGAGTCAATAATGAGAAAAAAAAATCAACAAATGGGTATCTAGTGAAAAAGAGAAAAAATCCAAAGATAGAAAATGTTGGGGATGGGGATAAAGCTCAGTGACAGTGTGTGCTTAGCATGTACAAACAAAAATACCAAAGATAGAAAATATGACACACGTTGGACATTTCTGGGATTTTACCTACGTTCCTTCTCCTTCATCCTTTTTTCCTCATTCAGGGTGGAGGGTTATGACGAAAATGGGACCAATTTACAGGAGAGTTCTAATAATCCGTGCGGCCAACCTTACAACAGAGTTTTTGGTTATATGAACCAATCTTTTCCTCTGAAGGGTATAAAATAGTTCAGATTGAATTTCCCAAGCAATTCAGAGTTCCATTACAGTTACTTTTAATAAAACTAAAAGTAGGCATTTTTCTCTACTCAGAACTGTAAGAATGTATTTTGTTTAGTGTGAAAATCAAGGTCACTGGTCACTATAAAATGAGCAGAATGTAAGCATGACGTGGCTTACTTTGCTGTGAGAAAATCTAGCATTTCAAAGCAGTTGCTTTAAATTATACTTGAAGATTCAATATTTCCCTTTAAAGCATACTGATACAAAGTTTTAAAATATTAACCAGGAAGAATGTTGCAGTGACAAAAGATTAACTGGAATAATTACTTTCTTAGAAACAACTTTCCTCTCACGTCATTCTGTGTATCTCCTATGTTCCCAATGTACTGAACCTGTGTTAAGTCATTTTTATAAACATGAAGCAACTATGCAAAACTTCAGTGTTCTAGTATAGATTTAATTCCATAAAGCAGGGTTTCCTTTCACATTAATTTGTTTTCACTATGCCATAGAGGTAAGTCCACAAACTCTACAGTTCCTCACCTGTTTCTCTGAAGATTTTAATACAAGCTTTAGATTAACCTATGTTTAAAAATCCTAAGCTATTTTTTAAAATCTGAATTATTTTAAATTATGACCATGACAGAATATCTGCCAGCCAATTAAGGTTCCAAACTAATTAACATTTAAAGAATGAACCATCATTAGGATCCCATATTTTAATAGTTGTAAAGGCTATCCTTAAGATTAGTGCCATAAACCATGTCATTTATATTATGAAAGAATATCTGTCTGCATATCTTACACACTGAGATATAAAGCCATGTTTTACTCATTTTTTATTAATATAACAATTTCTTCCACAATGACAACTGCAGTAAAAAACTTCAATAACTTTAGCCAATTTGCTGATATGTTCTACAATCTTTTAATTAATATGGTGCATAGACATTTGTAAACTACACAGCCACACCATTAAGCAACTAATAAATTTTGAAATGTTAGTGGAAGAGTTACACTCTAGTTTACTTTCTCCTTTTCCTTATATGTATTTTACATTCATGTGTTCTACTGATTTTTTTACTAGACCCTATTAAATTCTAGATTTAAATATGGCTAAGCGTAAGACAAAATAGTGACGAGTGTCAACAAAATAGCTGAGTTTTTTCAGTGGGTAAGCCACTTAAATCTATTCTCTAAAAGACAATTATTTAACCTAACACAAACATAGGGAAAGCTGGATTTCAATCTTAGGTTCTTCAGGTTGACCTGTCAGGTCCATGGGAACATTCAGGCCCCAGTTTGAATGTCTATGAGCTAAAAAGTTAACTGTGTCACTAATGGACTGTCCATTAGCTGAAAAAAGAACCCCAAGACACACTAAAGAAGATATTCAACTTGCAGGAGACAGGGAGTTTGACACAAGATAAAATGGTATTATACCTAAATAATTTTTAAGGAACTTTTAAAGTCTACTGACTATCACTGTATGAAGAACTCAGGTTAACAGTTCTACAAAAAGGACAATCATTTAATCAATTTTCTGCAGTGAATCATTAGACTAAATTCCCATAATCTAGAATTCCCAGTATGTTCCACCTTGAGGCTGACACAATCTGGGTCATTATCTCATATACATTCAGTAAATATTCAGTGACCAAGTTTAAAGTTAGATATCATATAATACTAAAGAATTAGGTGAAACCAATATTTTACTACCTCACAGCTTTTCCTTAAATCTCTTAATTTCCACCAACAAATCTAGGGCAACTTTTGCCTCTACTACTTTATTTTATGGAAGCTGAAGTATGTCATTGCTGCTGATATGTAACTTTTTTTGTACATTATGGTCCTATTTCTGTTAAATAATTCTTATAGTTTTTATCAATTTAAGCTTTTAGAAAACTCCTTTTAGAACTCTGGAACAATGCATAAAATTGAATTTAAAATTTTTTCAATTTTGTTTTTTAAATACAATAAAATTCTTGCTGGGCATGGTGGCGGATGCCTGTAATCCCAGCACTCAGAAGGCTGAAGCAGGACAATCCCAAGTTTGAGATCAGCCTGGGATACATATTGAGTTCAGGGCCAGCCTGGACTACACCAGTGAGACCCTGCCTAAAAAATCAATCAATCAATCAATTTGATATATGTTCTAGACAAATTAGGTTACTGAACAAGAGATCTCTGTTCACCTAATAACAATGTTTTGGGGGCTTTTCTGTTTTGTATTGTTTTGAGAGGGTCTCACTATATAGTTCATGCTATCCTTGAACTATGCTAGCCCAAGCTGGCTTTGAACTTACAGCAATCTTCCTGCCTCAGCCTCCCTGGTGCTGGGATTACAGGTGTACACCACCACACCTGGCAATATTAATATTGTAAAGAGGTTCAAGTGAACTTATATTTAGTGAGGTGAGTTTCATTTATCCTAAAAATGGTAAATGAACTTATTATTTGTGTATGAATCTAAAGTTTGTTCCTTGTGGATATTATCTGTAAATTTAAAAAAAAATTAGGCAATCATTAAATATGATGTTAACAGGTACACTGAACAATAAACTGAAACTTTCTCATTTAACTGACATCTGCTTAGTTTTTTATTTAGTTAAGTATAAAGGTAAAGGCCCAGTTAATTCAACTCAGTAGACTGGTCAAGGCAAGACACTTGACTACACAATAGGATTTAAAAAGCAGTTGGTTTTGTAGTAGTTCTCTGGTATCACACACGCATACACACATACACACAAATTGGTTGAGTACTCTAGATATTGGACCCTCTCCCCATAATCTTATAATGCATTGTTCATAACCAGCAATATTTTGAAAACTATAATTGAACATGGCCAAATTAAGAAATGTCTGATAAACTTTATAAAGTATTTGGGAACTTGAGCTGTATTCCCCAAAACATTGACTTTAAACTGTAAAAAAACAAGAATTAATTTAAAAAAGCAAAACAGACTTAACAGACATCTTGAGAAAAAAAACAAACTGTAATTCAATTTCTCCTTTTTTAAATATGACTGAGGAAAAGTTATAAGTAGTAATAATACCTACATTTTAAAAAGAAACATTAACTAGATGAATGGGGATAGGAGAGTATACAGTATTATTGCACTCCATGAATGTGCAGAATTCCAAAATGTGCCAGCACTGAAAAACTATCTTGCATTGAGGTTTTCCAAGAGGTACAACGAGCCTGCCAAAAAAGAATCTGGTCTGTACTAACAGCTTGCTGTCTTCAGTACAGGCCTTCATAATGTCAGTCGCGCTGCTCTTGCAAAAATTCCTTAATGTCTGAAAGATATACAGAAAAAAGAATATTTTAATAATCATGTTCATAAAAACTTAGAATGTAAATTCTGATGAGAAAAGAACTGAGAACAACTCTGCAAAGTAAAAAATTAAACACTCATCATATTCAGACATTTGCTTATACATTTTCTATCTTAAACTGCTAAAAATTATCATGCTCTTACAGTTAATTATCTGAAGGTAAGTACATCAATTTTGGCTATGAGGAGTTCAGAGTTTTTTTAAAAGATGATGTTGCAGGCTCAATTACTAAGCCTTTGAGATAAAATTATCAGCACAATCTTATTTTGGTAGGTCCAAACTCTCTTGATACACTTATAAATTTTAATGATGGACAGACTCATCTTTCAATCTTAAACTGGAAACTCAAGTGGTAATATATGTAATATATATATCTACTAACATTTCTGATAAGAATTATAGCTAGTTGGTTTTTTTGATTTTTCTTAAACAGGCTCTCACTATGTATTCCAGGCTGGCCTTGAACTCACAATGTAGCCCAGGCTGGCCTCGAGTGATCCTTCTGCCTAAGCCTGGGATTACAGACATGTGCCACCACACTTGGCTATAACTAGTTCATTTTTAAACTACTTACAAAAGTTTTCAGTGCTGATAGGTGGGGCTATGATCGATGATGTGGGATTGAATCCATATGCACATTGAGCTTCATTTCATTGTCAAGAATTTGAACAAGTTGTTGCATGGAAGGAAGATGACCAGATTCCAGCTTAGACCACACAGGTACATCTATAAAAATAAATGGAATACCTCAAAATTAAGAGATGGCTTTATAATAGACATTCATTTCATAAATAAGAGTGTTGGTGGACACAACTGGAGATACAGATGTGAGCAAGAATATAGCTTCTTGATCTTTCAGAGCTTATACTCTACTACACAAAATACAAAGAATTACACAAATAGCTACAAAATTGCAATTGTGTGCTAAAGTTAAAAGCTAGAAAGTGTACACTGCTATAACAGCACAAACATACATCTCTATCTCTGACTAGTCAGAAAAGTAGTATTTAAAATGACGGACACCTAAAAGGTAAAGAAAAATTACTAGGACACAGTGAGAATTTATGGGACTAGAAAACTTTTGAGAGTTGGGCATGGTGGCACACACCGATAATTCCAGGATGAATGAAGTTGAGGTAGAAGGACTGTCAAGAGTTCAAGGTTAGTCGGCTTTATAGTGAGTTCAAAGGCCAACCTGAACTACACAGCAAAACTGTCCCAAAAAAACAAAACAAAAAGCCCTCCAAAACAACAACAAAACTTCTGAAAAACAGAATAGAACTGTAAAGGCTATAATGCCCAGCACATTAAAATTGATAGCAAGTCACCATAGCTGAAATATAGGAGAGGGATGAGTGACACAAGGCTAGAAAGGTGAAAAGAACTAAATTAGGATCAACAAATTTTAATGAGCCAGGAAGTAACATTTTTGGCTAGGGAAAATACACAGTCCCACAGCCATTCATCTCATGGTAGCTTGAAAGCAAGTACAGGCAATATGTGAAAGAACTGGCATGGCTGTGTTCCAATAAAACACATATAATATAGGCAGCAAGCTACGAAGCACAGGACCATAGTTACTCCTAGTCTCCAGGGCCTTTTAGCCACCTTAATATTCTGGTCTGTATCTTGAGAATAAAGTAAAACCATTTAATGAATTTAAAACACTTAAATAACAAAAGAAAATGTGCATCTGAAAAAAATCTCTCTACTGTCTAGAACAAACATTGGCAATTTTTTCTGTAAGAAGGCAGAGAATAATTTTAGACTTTATGGATCAAGAGACAAAGTCCAGATTATAGAGGTTTACCTATATAACTAGAGAGAAAACAAATTTCCATAAAATTTTCATTGACAAAAGTGAAAACATAAATGCAGAAATTTCAACATGTCACACATTAGTCTTTTAATTTTTTTAATCATTTAAAAATGTAAAAACCATTGTTAGCTCATGGATATGTGTACCAACCTCTTGTTTAGAAAAAGAATAATAGGGAGCTGGGGATTTAGCTCAGTGGTTTCACCCCCTGCTGCACAAGCTCAAGGACCCAAGTTCAATCCCTGGTACCAAAAAAAAGAAAAAATAATAGGGTAATAAGGTAATTGTGGCAGACTGGGGTGATGGCATAAAGATGTAGATTTCTGAGCAACCTAAGAGATAATTGAGAAGATATGGTAATTAATTATAAAGATGGAGAGTAAGAGGGAAGATGCTATCCCAGGTTTCAGGGCAATTGGGTAGACAAATGCCTGAAGAGAAGCAAATTAAGGGTGTAAAGGAAAGGTAGGAAGTAGAAGTAATCAAGAGTTTATTCGGGCCGGGGATTTAGCTCAGTGGTTCCGCCACCTGCCCCGAAAGCACAAGGTCCTGAGTTCGATCTCCGGTACCAAAAAAAAAAAAAAAGATTTTATTCGAAGGCCAGGGTGGTGGCATATGTCTGTAAGGCCCACATTCAGGAGGCCAAGGTGGGAGGATTACAAATTCAAGCCCAACCTGGGCAACTTAATGAGACCCTGTCTCAAAATTTTAAAAGGCTGCAGATGTAGATCAGTGCAAAGGGCTTGGGTTCAACATCAAGTACCAAAAGAAAACAAGTTCATTTTGGAGCAGGTTTAAGATTCCTGGGTATGGCACTTTAAAAAAGTTTAGAGTTCTCTAGAGCTATATATTCAGGAATCATCACACAGATTTGATTTTAAAGCTATGGGAGTAAATGACTAGATAAACAACTTAACAAAAGATGAGGGCCGCTGGGTGTGGTGGCGCAGTTGAGGCAGAAGGATCAACAGGAATTTTGAGGCCAGGCTGGGCTAAATAGTGAATTCAAGACAGCCTAAACTACATAGTGAGACCCTGTCTCAAAAAACAATGGGGGAGGCCAAGGATTTAGCTCAGTGGTTTCACTGCCTGCTGCCAAGCACAAGGACCCAAGTTCGATCCCTGGTACCAAAGAGCAAAAAAAAAAACAACAACAATGGGGGAGGGGGGAACACACAAGGGCCAATTCCTCAAGAAATTCTAAAAATAAAGAGTAAAAGAGAACAAGTTAAAGTTTTCCAAATTTTTCTGTCTCCTAAATTTTCAGTATCTATGAAATAAACTTCATGTGAACATTAAAAAAGTTTGTCCTATTAAAAAACAGAAAATGGAGGGGTTGGGGATTTAGCTCAGTAGTTCCGCTGCCTGCCTTGAAAGCACAAGGACCCGAGTTTGATCCCTGGTACCCAAAAAAACCCCAGAAAATGGGCTGGGATATACTCAGTGGCAGAGTACTTAGCTAGCACATGTGAGGCCTTGTACTCCCAAATAAAGAAAAAAGAAGAGCCTGAGGCTCATTATAAATAATTTAAAATTTATCATAAAACACAAACTATTCAGAACCTACCATTTAAAGTTATCTCAAATGCACCTGTTGACATACACTGGTTCTCAATCATGTTGCTCAAGAAGAAAACCATCATACATGCATAGACCTAAAAGAAAATATGAGAATCTAAGACAGTGATCTTAATACAGTTTTTATTTGGTAAATGCTTTTGTAAAATCTACTTTGAAAGTTTCCATACAAGCTATTATTGTTATTCCATAGGTTCAGATAACATCTACACAACAAGAAAAATTGAGTATAAATTCACAGCTTTACACATTCTGAAGAATTTATGATATTCATACTGTACAAAGAATTTCTAAGAGAACTAAGTTAAAGAATGCCAGCATAAGGATTCAATTCACTTTACCATTTTTATAGTGCATTATAATATAAAAATTCACAAGAGACTACTGATGCAATAGTCAGTAACTATGAATTCAATACAACCTGTTCATGTTTTAAACACATCATTTGAAGCCAAACTAAGAAACAGGTTAGAGAGCATAGGCATATTAAAAGTGCATTCATTCATCTTTTGAAGGCAAATCTATAACTTCCTAGAGGCTAGAAGTTGTTTGTTGAACAGAAAAGGTTTAACTTAGCAAAAGCATTAGAACAAAAGTGGATATAGTGAAGATATCAATTCATAGCAAGCTGTTTCAGAAAAATAAATGTACATAACAGATGACAAACAACTTTCCCTCTTGCCCCATTTGAACTAAGGAGGGTTTGATTTCATAGCATTTGCTCTCAAGGGAACAATACATGAGGACCTGTCATAAAAGTATAGCTTTTATGTATATTTTCTTTCCACAGTAGATCAATCTTGATATATATCTATATCTGTATCTTTATCTATATCTGTATATATACAGAGAAGTAAAATGCACCAAATACAATCTGGAATCATTAAGTATAGCACAAAACGTTACCAATAAGTAATTATCCTATTTTGAATCCTTTGCAAATCAACAATTTGTTAATAGCAGGGTAGAGATACACTTCAATTAGAGATAACACTTGAGGATGTTTATGTTAAGAAATCTTGTATGTTTCTGAAAATAAATGGTTCCCTAGGAAAATGTACAGCTATGTAAGAGTCTGCTAAAGGTATTCAGCCTAGAATAAAAAAACAAGATCAGATAGAGTTTCCAACAAGAGGATACATCGTAGGAAGAAGCACCTAAGCAAATCCATCCAAGACAGAAATAAAAATTAAGACCCATTTCTGACAATGATAGATTTTTGAAAAATGATTTTATGCAAAACAGATGAAAACAAGATTATCTAGAAAGAAGGCATACTGCAAGAGTCTATAAAGGAAAAAAGAACAGCACAAGATTCTTAATTATTTATAATATTTATACTGATTCTTTCTGGCAATTTGGCAAACAGATCCCTATGAACAGAAAAGTCAAAGAACAAGTAGAGAAAAGGGTTTTGATGACATGGGTTAAATGGAAATCCAATTTTTAATGTGAATCAACCCACTAATATCATATTAGTTGGTATAAAAGATATATATTACATATATATTGTGTTTTGCTAGATACAATTTGACTAAGTTATGAAAATCAAGTAATAAATTATTTTGTGCCTAGGTTCCACTAAAATAACACCTCTCTATTTCTCTTCAGGACAGATTTCATCCACTAGGGAAATGGTTCAAAGGAACAAAGATGAGGGGTGAAGAGGGAAGGGGAAATGAGAGGAATAAAAATGTGCCACGTGCAGGATCCTAACAACTCCAATCAATGTAAATGCTATATGCCATGACATGAGCTAAGACAAATAATATCAACAAGTCTGAAAAAGCTGATAGGTGAACCAGCCAAGGAGGGGGGAGAGAAGTGTCCTGCCAAAAGATCAAAAGTGGTATAAATGGAAATAATACACGCTAACAGAAAAATCAGTAACAAGTACAAAACAATTAAAATCTTTCCACTAACAACCTAAAAACCTACAGTTCCCAAAGCTATTAAGTTACATACCTTATTTTCTTGGCCCCACTGCCAGATGCTCGGAGCTTGCATGCCAAAGAAAGCAAAAGGATCCTTGCCAACAATTATTAAGCCTATTAATACTAGTTTGAAGACTGACAGGAAAGATGCTATGTGTCTATCAAAAGAAAAGAAACATTCATCAGAAACCTCAATTTGTTATCTACTTTAAAATTTAATAATTTAAGTACATGTATATATTTTCTGAAAGTTACCATGGAAAAAGTAATGTAAGTTTTTTGTGCAGTTTAAAAAACACAAGTATTTAATCATTTTACTCAATCAAAAAGTACCTAAAAATGATACAGAATTGGCCTTTAAAAATACAATTACTTTTTCCGCCGCCTGCCTTGTAAGCGCAAGGTCCCGAGTTTGATCCCTGGTGCCAAAAAAAAAACAACAATTATTTTAAGACAGTACAGGGGCCGGGGATGTAGCCCAGCAGCACAGCACCTGCCTGGCAAGCAAGCCCAAGGTCTTTTTTTTTTTGGTACCGGGGATCGAACTCAGGTCCTTGCGCTTGTGCAGCAGGCGGCGAAACCACTGAGATAAATCCCCAGCCCATGGTCTTGAGTTTGATGCCTGGTACCAGAAAAAAAAAGATGACTGATTATATAGATCACTGACTTGCTATGAAATTTTGGAGATCTAGGGTATAGCTCAATGGTAGAGCACACACTTAGTATGTGAAATGCCCTGGGTTCAATCCCTGCCACCAAAGAAAAAAAGGTGGGGAGGCTAGCTTATTTCCACAGTAAAGACTACTTAAAAAAAACATATCTTTAAAATAGTTGTCATCTCTTGAAACAACCTCATTCTTCCTTCAGAAAAAGCCTTCTATATTTGGGTCAAATAAACTTGCTATTTATAAAGCAGTTTTCTCTGTGTTTAATATTATAACCAATAAAAGAACAATAACCAAGAAAAGGTACTTAAACCACTCCACAAAAGATTATAAAGTCAATAAATCATTTTCCTTTTCAGTTACTGAAATTTACTTACCTATAAATTGGTTGTGGGAGGTAATTCTCTCCTTCAATTCGGATGTCTGGGTACCGCTGGCTAATAACCCTCATGTACTCCTCAAACACCCGCCTATAACCTCAGGAAACACTGCAGAAAAATGAAAATGTTTCCATTAAGTGGTTTAGAATACACCTATGTAGATTTACTTTGCAATGAGACAAAGCCTAACGATTATTACATTCCTCTCATTACAATATTAAACTTTGTAGCTCTGGGTTATTGTTAGACATTAAGTATTTATTCATATATATTAGCATATCTTGAGCTCTCACACCAATGTGGTCTTTCTTTTTTTTAATCCATGGCTTAAACAGTAAAATAAAAACAATTCTTATTCATGAGTTGAGACTTTCACATTTGGGGCACAAAAAGCATACAAACAATGCCAAAGCATGAGACCTAAAACCCTGGTTCTTATCTTTACTCTGCCCCTAACTGGGCCAATTTTTTGCTCAACCATAGTAAGAGGAGCTTAGACTAAACTTAGAGCCCTTCTCACTCACAAGTGTTTCTATTATGCAAAGTAAATAAAGGAAAACAAGATTGGGAAAAGAATTCTCGGTAATGTGACATTACTCTGGAAATTAAGTCAACAGCATCCAATCTCCATTAAAGTGTTTGAACAATCATTTCAGATACTGTATATGTTTCTCAGCAAGTACAGGAAAATACATCAGAGAACATTATATATATATAAAAAAGGAGGGAGGTGCCAACACCATTCAAATCAAGAGCTTACAAATTCAGGAAAGATTGTTCAGCACTTAAATTCACTAAGTTCTAAGTTGAGGAACACATAAATACCATGAAGAAATGAAAGTACCACTTGAAACAAGGAAGCAGAGTCAATAATTAAGTCACAGAAAAGCCTAAAGTGTCAGCTTTGTCAATCAAAGGGGGAAAAAAGCAATACTAATCACTTCCCTCAATCCAAGGAAATAGCATATAGTTTATATCTGACAGGGTGAAATAGTACAAATATTACTAGATCTTAATTTTTAAAACCTGCTTTTCAAAAAGAGAAGAGAAAAAAGATACCCAACCCAACAGTTTTTCTTTATAGTGAATGTTTCCTTTGAATTTAGAATGAATGTTTCAGAAGAGTAAATCTCTATAAAGTATGAATTTTTAGAGATAAATCTCTGTAGCTAAATATTTAAATGAACTTATAAATTTCCAGATACCTTCTATATTTACCATCCACCTTATCTAATATTTTATTATTACCATTTGTATTTTTTATTCTTTCCAAGCAGCATGCTGGGCTGCTTATATTACTAATCTGATATAACTGCAAATTTATAGAAAAGTTACAAGAGTAAAAATCAACACATTGAGTAAACTTTTCACCTATATTCATCAAGTATTAGTATTGGGGAGGGGGGGTACCGGGGATTGAACTTGGGACCTTGCCCTTGAGAGGCAGGTGGTGGAACCACTGAGCTAAATCCCCGGCCCAAGTATTAGTATTGTAACATAACTGTTTTCTCTAAAGAAAATTTTAATGTTGCTGCTGTTTTAAAGATATCACAAAAATAATTTAAAACCAAGAAAACCCACTTGACTTCAATGCCGGAGTTTGCACTGGTGTTTACGATGGAGTTGATTATCTAAACAGCACTTTTTAAATGTAGTATTTTGAGGACTAGGGACTTGGTTCCTTTAGTCAACAATGCAGTGGGAACTATTTATCTATATTCCAGCTAAGAGTTAGTTAATGGGGAGGGAATGAAGAAGCTAGATTATCATGCAGCCAACCACAGTGGACTATGACAGGTTCTACGTTTTTTGTTTGTTTTTTAACAAACACTGACTGTTGACAGGTACTAAGTTCCAAAATTGCAACATTATGCAAAACAGACAAAAATCTATGTATTTTTGCTGCTATAAGTAGTACAATGGAGGAGACAGTTTGTTAGTAGATAGTATCTGATGCTGTTTCTCATCTTGTTTGAGAAAGGAGTAAAAAGAAAGAAAACACCCAAAAGACTAAGGAAAAAAGGTCACAAAACAAAAGAGCAGAATCAGTAACGAAAAGATTAAAAATAAGAGCTTATATTCAGAACTAATCTGCAACAGGATGATAAAATAAATATGGAAGGGCTTCAAGAAAAAGCTCAAAATCAAAAAACAGAATTAAGAGCCAGATATGGTGGTACAGCCCTGTAATCCCAACTCTGGGAGACAGGCAGGATGATCACAAGTATGAGTCAGGATTAATTCAGTGACTTAGCAAGACCCTACCTCAAAATAAAAAAAAAGTACAAAGGTCCTGGGTTCAATCTCCAATACTAAGGAGAGGGGAGAGCAGAATATGATATGAGGCCCTCAAAAATCAACACTACAATGAACTATAAACTTACATCTACTATGATGGCTACTTTCAAAAAAGAAAATAACAAATGTTGGTAAGAATAAGAAGTAATAGGAACCTTTGTGCACTGTTGGCAAAAAATGTGAAAGGGTACAGCCATTATTGAAGTATCTAAAAATAAAAATAAAAATTGAATTACTGTATGATTCAGCTGCTGTGGTTTGAATCTGATTTGTTTCCTTCAAAACTTATGATTAGGTCTTGAGAGAGATTAACATGTTTCATGTTCTGCCAGCTTGAACCTGGCTGTTCCCTTGGGCAGCATGTACCACTGGTGGTACAAACAAATCTAAATCACTTTTAACAGTCTTTTTACTAATAAAAAGCTACCTGATGGGACAGTCATGCATGTACCACTGGTGGTTCGAGCCACCCAGCAGCAAGACACACGAATTATGGCCCTGTCCTGAACGTGTTAATTCCTTTCTCAAGAGAGTGGGTTAATTCTTGTAGGAGCAAGACTGGGTTATTGTAAAGCAAGTCTACCACTCATGCTTTCTCTCTTCAGTGTTGGCTTGGCCTTTTAACCTTTCCCACCTTAAGATGAAGCAGCATAGAGGCCTCATTAGAGGCTAGTGCTGAGCTCCTGGACTTCCCAGCCTCCAGAACTTTAACCCAAAAGAAACAACTTTCCTTTGTAAATTACCCAGTCTCAAGTATTCTGTTAAAGCACTATAAAATAGTCCAAGGCATGGGCAATCCCAATTGTGGGTATATATACAAAAAATTTAAAGCAGGATCTTGAAGAGGTATTTGTACAACATGTTGATCATAGCATTATAAAAGGTGAAAGCAACTAAAATATCTACCAATTGATAAATATATAAAGAAAAATGAAATATGCTACCTTTAAAAATAATCTTGCCATTTGCTACATGGATGAAACTTGAAGAGATTATACTAAGCAAAGTAAGTTCAATGCCCAGTACCAAAAAAAAATGTATTTTTATCTATTTACTGTAAATACTGTATCTCCCACCAGACAACTGGTTTTCAAATCTTACTGTTAAAAAAAAAAAATCGTATCTTCTCAAGAACTAAACAAAAGGGGGGGAGGATGATATGAAAAAAAGGGGAGTGAAATAAACTTTAGGTTATGCCACCATCACTACAAGACTTGATCATCAGTTCATGGCAAAACCTACATAACGACATTCCTTCACCAACCCCACACTGCACCGCAGTCAGAGTAGGATATGTAAAAACATGACTGCACTTTTTGGAAATGAGAGAGGAAAGAACTAGAAGGATCCAACTAAATTCTTAAGTAACAAAGACATAAAAAAAAAACAACCTGGGTGCAGTGGCACATGCCTGTAATCCCAGCACTCAGGAGGCTGAGGCAGGAGTATCGCTGAGTCTGGATTACATAGGGAGTTCAAGACCAGCTACATAGTGGGACCCTGTCTCCAAAACAGAGAGACAGAGAAAAGATAAACACATATGCATGGTTTCACTTTTTTTCTTTTAAGCCTCCTGACCCTATTTTTTTGTGGGTTTTTGTTTTGTTTTGAAGCCAGGGTCTCGCTAAGTAGTTAACACTGGCCTTGAACTCACAATAGCTCAGACTGGTCGGAAACTTACAGTGATTCTCCTGCCTCAGCCTCCTGAGTTCTGGGATTCAGGATTTTTCTTATGATTATTATAGCATGATTTAAACAGCATTATTTTTTCTTTCTAAATGGTATATAAAATAAAATAATGGTGCAAAAAATAAATAAATAAATAAAATAATGGTGCATCTTAGGTTTTATATACCATTATTTCATATAACATTTATAGGCTTGGTGACGTACAGTAACTGCTAAATTTTCTAGTTCAAATTAAGATGGCTATTTTGGAGTGATGAAAATTCTTTGTGGGGATTTTCTCCTAGCTGCTGTCTTCATTCAGTCTTCAAAATTCAGTATGCCTTCACTTCCTTCTCACAGAAAACTAATCCACAGAACTTATCTCCTTTAATTGTTTATCACACCAGGGAATAGTAGAGCATCATTCCAGAACTCAGGAGTCATCTTCGCCAGTTCTTGCTTGCTTCTGCCCACTTCTCTCCAAATACTTCTCCACAGTTCATGGGATCCATGGGGAAAATTGTTCCAGGACCTGACCCGCTTTGGATACAGAAATGTAGAGATGCTCAAATCCCTTATATGAATTGGCATAGTGTTTGCATATAACCTACTCACATCCTGTATACTTTAAGTCATCTCTGGATTACTTTTTTTTGGTACCAGGGATCGAACTCGGGTCCTTTAATACCCAATACAATGAAAATGCTATGTACATTGTTTAGGGAATAATAACAAAAGTCTGTACATGTTCAGTACAGATGTAGTTTCTCCTCCAAATTATATTTTCACTCCAAGGCTGGCATCCACAGATGTGGAACTCATGAATACAAAGCGCCAACTACTTCATCACCTAAAGCTACTAACTTTACTTAAGATCTCTCAAAGCTCTTTGTACTTCTACTACGACCTTTGTATTCCAAACTCCATTTCTCTCATTTGGACAACTCTTAGAGCCCTCTTCCCTAAATGTTTGTCTTTTCTTTGTTCTCTAGAGTATCTGTCCACAATGAAACTAGGTTTTCTAGGATGGCTCACTAGACCCTCAAGGAAAAATCTGTTTTTATAATGGTTGCTTCATTTACCTCTTAAAAATGCAGTTAGAAGTTGGCTGTCTGAAAATTACAACAGTTGATAATTAAATTAAGAAAAATTTTAAAATTGTGACATGTTCTGCTTATGTTTTAAAATTTTAACTTCATTTAATCTACAATCCTTAGCAGTAATTCAACTGTCAAATGTTAAATTATTAACTGTAAAGGGTTAGTCGGTAATCTCTTTAAACTATAGCGACTATAGATTTGATAACATGTTAAATCACACACAAGGAAATAAAACATGTATGTCAACACCATACCTACAAGTAGCGACTGTAATACCTCTACAAATGCAAGTCAAAGCAAGAAAAGTAACAAGGGAACTTCCTTTTAATGTTCAATGCTTAAACGTCCAAATAAATAGTGTAATTTTTTCACAAATATGAAATCAATGCCATCAACACTATCATATTCTATTTGATAGTATTAATTGACATAACAGACCAAAGACTCAAGATACATAGAATAACACTATACCATTTTTGTAGGTTTCATTAAGTGGTGATATGTCTTTTTTATAATGAAATCTTTAGTTACTGGCCCATTAGCAGGTACTGAATGACCATTTAATTAAAAAAAAAAACACCTAGAATTGACAGTTCTGTAATAAGCTTCATACTCTTTTGGATTTAATTTCTTTGTGCATTATGTTGCTAGTTTGTTCTACTAGCAATTACAAAACTCGTATAATTACCACTATGGTTATTTAAGAAAAAGTATAAAATAAAATAAGGAACTAAAATTAATTCAAAGTTTAAAATAGCTCTCTTTCAAATTGTTAATGAAAAACTGCATTTTATAGCACTGAAATTTCAAATAGAATTTTTAAGATTTAATGTTTATCCTCAATTGAATTAGCTTCCTCTTTTCTCTAACTTGCACATGAATATTCAAGAGAGTCTACCAAAACTAGAAATCTAATATTCACTTTACTATAAACAGATTAATCTCTAGGAGATAGAACAACAAACAAACAAGCTGAATTTTATCTGTATATAGTAGGGCAAATAAGTTACTTTCTATGTATATACTGAATATTTTAAAATGAAGCACTTCTGTAACATGCTTAGGATGACACCAAAGAAACTTTTATATCAGACTTTTGAAACAAGTCTGTACTTAAAAGCAAAAACAAAGACTCAAAAGTGCAACTCAGGGCTGGGGGTGTTTAGCTCAGCGGTGCTGCCACCTGCCTCTCAAGCACAAGGTCCCGAGTTCAATCCCCTGTACAAAAAAAAAAAGTGCAACTCAGGTGCTTTCGACTTTTTTATAAACCTTAATACGAAGGACTCAATGTCCCTCCCTACATTTGTTTACAGAGCTTAAAAGCCTTAAGAATATCCTCAGTGGAAAACACACGTGGTAAACTGACAATAATTCTAACAGAAATGTAAGAGTATTTTGGAAAAGCAAGGGACAGGACGGTAAGATAAAGAAAAATTATACAACCTAAAAATTGCATTTTTAAAACCTGCAGTACTTAAATCCAAAGTATCACACAATCCTTAACAATCTTTATAGGTTGGTAAAATGACTATCACTTTCTTATAAAAGTCAAGGGGTGGTTGGAGGAATAGATTAGTGATGAGTGCTTAGTAAGGCAAAGCTCTAGGTTCAATCCCCAACATACACCCACGAAAAGAGAATGGTCAAAGTATGCTCCCATTTGCACTATTATTCAAAGACGAGGTACAAATCTAGACTTTAGTAGATATATAAGTACATGAACTTTTAAAAGTTTATGGAGGCCAGGTGTGGTGAACACCTGTAATCCCAGCCCTCGGGTGGGATTTTCTGAGGTGTAAATGTCTCATCTTTACAATTACACAGTTTAAAAAAATACAAATTCTGAGCCTTTCAACCCCAGCCTTCCCCAATCCCATTCATAAAATGTATCAATGTCCTGCTTATAGCACTTATAACTGTTAGGCAACAACAAAATCAATTACAGGCTAATGTCAAAACCCGCAGGGCTCTTTTCCTCTTTCTATGAATGCATAAGATATCTGAAAGGTAGGAAGATGCCAGAGCAGGCCACTTCCGGGAGAAGACCCGTCCAGAAGCGAACGGTCAAAGTTTTGAAGAGCGACAGGCTCCTTTTCTGACACCTAAGAAATCGCAAACTGAGCACCAGCCTCCTCAGACGCGCTCTCCACGCCCGCCATGTGTCAGAAAGCCCCCACTCCCTCATCCAACAGTCACCCAGGAAAACAAGGCGTCTGTCACTCCCGGGTCCCCTCCAACGACCCGAATTAACCTCATCCTTCACCGAGCCAAGCAGAGAGACAGCCTGGCATGACTGTAGGAAGGACGACAGGAAAAGTTAACTGGGTGGCAACCGCCTGTAGTGTAAGGCGAGCCAGCGCCGCGCCTACTCATCCCCATCTCCGCGGGCGGCCGGGGCAGCATGGCGCGTCGCCGCCACCCGCCCTCCGTTCAGAAAAATGTCCCGCGTCCTAGCCTTCCAGGGTTCAACCTTCTACCGCCCGCCCACCCCAGTCCTTCCATTCTAAGACGCAGAAAGGAGCGGTTGTGTCTGTAGGAGAGGAGGGCGGACCGAGCGTTCTGCAGCAGCGTCCCAGAGAAGGCCGACTGCGGAATAGCACTGGCGCCGTTCTTCCGAGCTACGGAAGGTGCAGCCCGCTAGGCCGCGAAGCCGGGGCCTCGCGTACTGACGCCCGCGAGCAAAGGCGCGGCAGGGCGGCCAGATCGGTGCACATACCAAATCTGGAACTTGAGCAGCGGCCCCGTGGCGTACTGCATCTTCAGTCTCTTGCTAGGCACGCCGCCCAGATTGCCCGACGCCTCGCTCCTGACCACTGCCGACGCCGCCATCAGAAGCAGCAGCAAAAGCCTCATCTTAAATGAGACAGCCACTTCGGCCGCCTTCTCTCTGAGACTGCAGCCAGCCCAAAGCCTAGGCGCGAGCTGCTCCCCACTGCGCAGGCGCGATCCGCCAAGGTCGCGAGGAAGCAGGAATGCGACTGCGCGGCTCCGCTTGCGCACACTCGGGGAAGGAGAGCTGACCTGTTTTCTCCGTCCTGGCCCGCCTCCATATTGCCAGTGTGCAGAGGCGGGAGGGAAAGGAAGAGGGAAGTGGAAAGGGAGCAAAGAAGCTAGTGAGGTATCAGAGGAGTCATTAATTGTTGCGTCCGGCGGCTTGAACACTACCACTAGTTTTATTAATTCAGACATTTAGCTGTCTGAGACAAGTACACATGCTTCCACTTGACCGCCCTAATTGACATGGGAGAGAAGTAATGGAATGTCTTGACCCTCTGAACTGAACCGTAATGCTCAAAAATTTTTATGGCTTTTCCTTTGGTCTTATAATATCTCTTTCATAAAAGAATATTGTAAATAATTTTTAGAAAACTTGTGGAAAGTTTCAGACATATAGAAGAATAATATTGCAGATAGGTAAGATAATTAGGTATCTTGTGTGCAGTTAGATAGGACCAGCCCTCCAGGAGCCAACACAGCAAGGAGCCAACATGGAGGACAATCAAGACACATTCATTGAAGGCCAGAATTGTAAAAGGAGAGAAACTGCACATCCTTGTGCTTCCCCTGGGGAAAAATAGCAGTGATTGATATTCTAAATAGGTATCAGTCACCTGGGTGGGGGGTCAAGGTCTTAACCCAGCCTCTCCAGAAAATATCCCTGACCCCCATTCTTACTGAAAATCCTTGTATGCTTGCTACGTGACTTGCTTCCCTATTTGACCCCCATTTAATTAGTATTACGTGGGTGACTGTACTTGTAATCTTATTGGTTGGTCATGGTTTTGTCCCACCTCATGCCCACCTTGTAAATTTCCTTTGGGTCTTATAGTTTTGTCCCACTTTGTACTCGCCTCACCACATGGCTTTGCTGTATAAAAATCTTTGAAAAGTGGGGTGAGCGGGCAACCCACTTTCCGGTCCCCCTTCAGTCTCTCTTAGACAGAAGCTTTCTTTCTCCCAGTAAATTTTTCCTACTCTTACGCTCTGTCGTTCCTAGAATTCATTCTTCGATTTTGGAGAACACGAACTTGAGTTTTGGTATCTAGTAGGTTTGGGAGTTAATCTCTTCTCCCTATATCAATAGAATAATTACTTTTCTATCAACCAGCTTTAAAATTAACAATAACTGGCATTTTGCAAATCTTAGATGAGATCATTTAATCTATAATTAAATATGTATGTAAAAAAGAATGACCAGGCATTAAAAAATTAATTGCTTAATATCAAATATCCAGTCAGTGTTCAAATTTCTCTTATTAATAACTTCTTCTGGTCCTGTCAAAGACTGAGACCAAGAACACATCACTAGTTGAACAACTTGGATAGATTCATTGCAGCAAGAGTGAATATATGCCATAGGGAACCATGGGAAGTCTCAGTAATGGGGTATTAGGAAAATACTATGGTAGAATCTGGATCTTGATTAAATTTTTTGAGAAAGGGTGCTGGGATACCTATGAGTAGGTGTTTTCAATAAATCTTATATTTAGGGAGAGGAGATTATGTAAAGTTTAAATGGGAAAGAGAGCAGTCCTGGGAAGAGCAAAGCACAAAGCATCATAATCCCCGATATCAACTTATACTATGAAGCTACAGTGATAAAAACAGCATGGTACTGGCAGAAAAACAGACATGTGGATCAGTGGAACAGAATAGAGGGTGTAGAAACAACCCCAGGTTATTCAGCTAGCTGATCTTTGACAAAGGGGCCAAAAACATACTGGAAGAGAAATAGCCTCTTTAATACTATAAATGATGAGAGAAAACCACATATTCACTTACAGAAGATTGAATCTGGACCCATATATCTCACCATGTGGTAAACTAAAATCAAAATGGATCAAAGGTCTAAATGTTAGAACAAAAAAACTTACTCTTCTGGAATATAACCTAGCCAAAACTATTGAAGAAATATACATAGGCAAGGACTTTCTGAACAGAACTCCAATTGCAAAAGAAATAACATCAAAAATCAAATGGGATAATATCAAAAAGCTTCAGCACAGCTAAGGAAATAACCAACAGATTGAAGAGACAACCTACAGAATGGGAAAAATTTTTTGCTAGCTATACCTCAGTCAAAGAACTATCATTTAGAATATAGAAAGAAATCAGAAAAATTAGACACCCTCAAAATAAAAGACAATCAAAAATGGGCAACTGAAATTAACACACTTCTCAGAAGAAGTACAAATGGCCAATAAATACATTAAAAAATGTTCAACATCTCTGGCCGTTAGAGAGATGCAAATTAAAACAGCACTGAGAGGCTGGGGATTTAGCTCAGTGGTTCTGTCGCCTGTCTCACAAGTGCAAGGTCCTGAGTTCAAGTCCCAGTATCAAAAAAAACCACAACAAAAACAAAACACTGAGATTCCATTTTACTACTCCAGGAAGAATTGTTATCATCAAGAAATCAAATAATAACAGATACTAATGGGGACCCAAGAAAGAGGAACCTTTCTGCATTGTCAGTTGGACTATAAACAAGTACAACCATTATGGAAATCAGAATGGAGAGTCCTCAAGAAACTAAAATTAGAAATTTATTCTAATTTATTCTATTCGACCCAGCTATTCTCCTTCTAGGTATCTTCCTGAAAGAGTTAAATACATTGGGGGCCGGGAATTTAGCTCAGTGGTTCTGCTGCCTGCCTCGAAAGCACAAGGACCCAAGTTCGATCCCCGGTACCAAAAAAAAAAAAAAGAGTTAAATACATTATATTGCAGAGATGCATGTATACCCATACTTATAGCAACACAATCCAAAATAGCTTATTCTTGGATGCAGCCTATATGTCTATCAGAAGATGAATGGATAAAGAAAATGTGGTACTTATTCACGATGGAGTACTATTCCATACAGAAGGGTAAACTTGAGCATTTGTAGGAAAATGGACCATAATGTTAAGTGAAATAAATCAGACACACGGGGTTAAATATTGCATGGTTCCCTTAAACAAGAAACCAAAAATATAAATAGCAAAATAAAAGATAATGGGAGGGCTGGGGATTTAGCCCAGTGGTTCTGCTGCCTGCCTTGCAAGCACAAGGTCCCAAGTTCTATCTCTGGTACCAAAAAAAAAAAAAAAAGAAAGAAAAAAGGGAAATAGCCAGAGAGATCTTTTGCATATGAGAAGGGGACCAAGATCTGGAGGGAAGGAGGGGAGACAGGAAGGCGGGAAAAGGGATGGAAAAAGAACTATTGTGTGTTTTGTACATGCACCAACTCTCCACATGGAACGTGATCGTTATGTACTACTGAGCCCCGGAGATAGACAAACAATAGAAACAATAGGCAGGTAGGATAAGGACCTGAATAAATGCAGATAAGCCCTGGCAAAATGAGAACACAATAGAAAAGAGGTAGGAATTGGGCAAGGAGTGAAAGGTTAAAATGAAGGGCAAAAGTTCAGCTTCTGTGAGGAGTGAATGGTTAAACAAGAAGTTTAGATTAGTGAGGCATCTTGTGTCTAGTCATTGTCCTTCCCCTTTCCCCCCAAAAACTGCCTAGTCTTGAGACAGCTTCTTACCCAAACTGCTTTCCTTTTTTTTCCCTCTCCTTACACTGATATTCTGAAAGCCCGAAAGTTCTCAGCTTTGGTGCTACTCCTGGGAGTCTCCCTAACTAACTCAGGGTGCTCTACTTTGAGGCAGCCCCTCCAGGCCTACCGGTGACTGAACTAAATCTCGTCCAGGAATAATCTTTCATACTCTACGCCCCACAGAAGCTCACTGAAGTGTGACATGGAAAGCTGGAGGGCAGGGGAGCAGGGAAAGTTTGACCAAACCACGTCTTTTTTTGGTTTCATTTTCTAGAGTCCACCAAAACAGCTCACTAACTTATATATAAATCCCTGAATTTGGGTGCTACCACAGTGTCCTCACTTGGAGCACTTCTTGGTTAGCAAGAGCTTTTCTTTGTTCTTTATAATAAACTACAGCTATGCCTTGGTTCATGAACTCAATTCTCTCCTGGTTTCTGGTCCCAAACTAAACTGGACAAGAATGAAAAAAAATTTTTCCATAGGGTCAACATTGAACCTAATTGAATTTGCTTAGTTTTTTTGTTTGTTTGTTTGTTTGTTTGTTTTCCTTTCAGCTTTTTTGAGACAGGGTCTCGCCATGTAGTTCAGGCTGGCCTTGAACTAACAGTGTAGCCCAGACTGGCCTTAAACTCGAGGCGATCTTCCTGCCTTAGCTGGGATTACAGACATGTGCCACTGTGCCCGGCTTGATCTGTCTTGTCCAACTTGGTTTGCAATCAGAATCATGGAAAGAATCAAGTTCGTGAACTGAGGTACCAGTGTATACTCAGTTTTTTCCCCAATGCTGTGTCCATGGACTTCAGGCTTTGTCATTTTCAGGACAAGAGCCCAGAGGTAGGAGAGAATTGGTTACACTACAAACATGTACTAATAAAAAATAAAAATTAAATGACACCACCAAAAACTGTGTCTTGCATAGCAAAAAAAAGAAAAGAGAAAAAAACAAGCAAGCAGTCTTGGGAAGGAGAAGCAAATAGAATTAAGCTATATTATGTCCATGTATTAAGTCCTCAAGATGAATGTAATCACTATGTACTAAAAAACGTGTCTAATAAAAATTGTTTAAACGAACAAATCAGCTTTAACTTAAAAAAAAAAAAAAAAGCAGTCCCTTACTATGGCTAAGAGAAAAGATGTTTGGTGTTTTGAAGGTACCTTCTTCATAATTTTAATAAAGTGAATACGTGTTTTTCTCTCTTCCTTCTACCTCTGATAATATGATCTCTCCAGTTTTTCTTCTGGGGTACCAGCTGGACCCCTTTGTGCACAGTCTTGGGACTGTCAATTAAGATGTCCAAAATTTTCCTAGTCACACTTGTCTGTGTCCCAAGCAAACACTACTGAAGTTTATTAATTCCAGTAAAGAACAATGAGGAAGACTCTAGACCCCAAATTACTCTGGTTCTGGTCCTTTCCAGGGGTTTGTTTTGTTTTGTTTTTAAAGACAGGGTCCCTCTCTCAGTAATTCAGGCTGGTTTTGAACTCAATGCATAACCCAGGATGCTTCTGAACTCAAATCAATCCTTCTGCCTCAGCCTCCTCAGTGCTGGGATTATAAGCATGCACCATC